TCTTACTGTTCTTCAGGCTGGTCTCTAACTCTTGAGCTCAAGCGATCCACCTGCCTCAGCCTCCCAGAGTGCTAGGATTATAGGTGTGAGCCACCACACCCAGCCTGTGATATTTTCTTTTGGGGGTAAAATATACATATCATAAAACTTAACCTTTTAATCACTTTAAGTGTACAATTCAATGGCATTAAATACATTCACGGTGTTTTTCAGATATCACACTATCCATTTCCAGAACTTTTCTATCATCCCAAACACCTCTGTCCCCATTAAACAACTCCCCCAGCCCCGATTGCTGACAGCCTCTAGTGCACTTGCGGTCTCTGTGAATTTGACTTAATCCAGGTACCTCATATAAATGGAATCATGTAATATCTGTCCCTTTGTGTCTGGTTTCTTTGCCTCAGCATAACATTTTTTAGGATTCATCCATGTTGTGACACATACTAGGAGTGAATTCCTTTTCCTAACACTCCATCATATGGATAGAGCGTATTTCATTTATCCAGCACATTTTACATGCAGATCCCTGCTTGGCCTGTCTTTATGACTGAATTATAAGCTTTTTAACAGTGTTTTAGGATCATACAGTGGTCGACCACGAAGAGGCTTAAGGAGGGCATTGAGTTCAACCCCTCTTCACAGGGATGAAGAAACAGAAACCAGGAAGTGATGTGCCACACATCACACCTGTTGAGGTCTCAGCTTCTCAGGGCCCCAGCACGTGCTTGTGAGACAAATGTGGTTAGTCAAAACATGACCCCGTTTTGAAATCTAATACTTACCTGCATAGATGTATCTGGTTTAAAAGTTTTATTAGGCAATCGGGTGCTTTCTTTGCATTTTCCAAATAAAGTAGACTCTTTCTGTACCTAACCTAAACAATAACAAAATGATCAGATTTGGGTTAAACACAAACGTGTATGTAGAGTGCACGCTTTGTGTTAAAAAGATGCTGTCGGCACAACATGATATTCCTAACTAGCATCAGCGTTCAAAAACTGTCATAAGGCACCGTCCCCCACCCTTTGCTTGCTAAACAAAGCAAGTTTAGAACTTTTCTGGAATGACCATCAGAGCTATCAGCATCGTGCAAGATCTGACAATTAAATTGGTGAGCTCATCCTAGAAAGAGTGGAAGGGTGGACCAGGCGTTGGTACCTGTACGTACCTCCCCAAAGAGTACTTCACAGGTGACTGTAGTGATATTCAGCAAGGTATGTAGCACTTTTTCTGGGATGAACTTGAGAACTTATTTGTCCAACCCACTGAAAGTTTGTATCCTTCACCCAGATCTCCCATTGCTCTTACCCCTAACCCCTGGTAGCCACGCTCCACTCTCTCCGAGTTCCACTTTTCTAGATCCCATGTGTGAGTGAGATCACGCAGTATTTGTCCGGCTTATATCCCTTCCTGCGGGTTCATAACAAGCTAGTTTTGCATTTTTAGTGGACTATTATTACGCAGTATTTGTCTGGCTTATATCCCGTCCTGCAGGTTCATAACAAGCTAGTTTTGCATTTTTAGTGGACTATTATTACCTCGTATTTTCTCTTCAGTTCTTTAGTGAAATTTTCAAAGGTTGTGAGAAGGGCAGACTCATTCAAATTCTCTGGGACTTCTCGGGATGGAGTGAACATGCCTTATGAACAACAAAAATAAAACATTATAGAACATGATCAAAGTGCTTAAAGTAGACATGCTCAGGCCCTCAGCTACCCAAAGGACAGAACATAAATACGAGCCATGGCAGCCCCACAGGCTGCTCGGCCGGGAGTCCGCGACATGCATGGCTCTGGCTGTGACCGTGGAAGAGCAGCTCAGGTCGGAGTCCACATGGCTTCACGTGGTCCCCTGTGAAGCTTCCCTAACCTCTCTCTGCCAAGGTGCCCCCAGCCTTCCCAGCACTTTACAGCAGAGCGACTGACATTACGTTAAGAAGCGGGCTGAGGAGTTGTAAGAGGTTCTAAGGAAGACATGCCAGTTAGGACAGTTTTGTGGGGGTAACTGGCACGACAACTTCTAGGTGCTAGCCTTGGAAGGGCTTGTGAGGGTCTGAGTGATTTGCACACATTAACTCATTTAATGCTCACAAAAAATACGTGAAGTGGGCACTGTTAGGATCCACGCTGAACACAGAGATCACATAACTTGTGCCAGCTGACACCAGCAGCTTTAGGATTTAAACCCAGGCTGTCTGGAATTGCTGCTTTCAAATTTGTGTTTTAGGGGCCTTCTCTCATAAAATATGTAGTACTGGCATACAACCCCCATTGCTAAATTTGACTGGCTTTAAAAAAGAAAAGAGAAAATAAAAAGTAAAAAGAAAAAAAGAGAAAAGAAAAGAAAGTAAAGAGAAGAGGGGAGGGGAGGGGGGAGGGAAAAGGAAGAGGAAGGAGGGGAGGGGAGAAGGGAAGGGGGAGGGGAGGGGAGGGAGGAAGGGGAGGGGGAAGGGGAAGGGGAGGGGGGAAGAAACACCAACTGGGCATAGTAAACTCATGCCTATAATCCTAGCACTTTCTGAGGCTGAAGTGAGAGGAAGACTCGAAGCCAGGAGTTTGAGATCAATCTAGGCAACACAGCAAGACCCTGTCTTTTCAAAAAATAGAAAACTTAGCAGATTGTTGAGGTGCAGGCCTGTAGTCCCAGCTACTGGGGAGGCTGAGGCAGGAGGGTCACTTGAACCCAGGAGTTTGAAGTTGCACTGAGCTATTATGACACCACTGCACTCTAGCCTGGGCAACAGAATGAGACCCTGCTCAAAAACAAAAAATGTGGTCCTATTCAACCATTCCTTCAGAGGCCAGCAGACATTCTAGATTAATCTTCTAGGTTGGTGTAGATTGTATATTTTAACATAAAAGTTTAGGAAATAAATAGTCAACTAAAGCAGAGACCTAGTACATTAGGAAATTGCCAGAAAGAGTTAAGAGGAAGAAATCAAAACGCTAGAAGGGGATGGTGCGTGCTTTTATCCGTAATTCATCCAACAATGTACTTGTCTCTGAAAGGACAGAATGCTCAGCATTTAGGCTTCTGCGGCTATTGTGATCTTAAAACTGTAACTTCTTTGTAATTTGTGCTGGTACATTCCGTGCTGACCCATTTCTCCCACTCCTACTTGAAGTGCCAGTTGGGTACACTATGTTACCTGCCAAGTCTGTTTCTTCTGTCACTGAGGAAGGGGACCCTGGAGCACCATCATCTTCCAATCTTGATTGCTTTGACTTAGCAAAACTACCTTCTGGTATATCTAAAGGCAAACATAGCACATTGATGTTCCCACACACATTCCTTCTCACCCAAATGCATCTTAGTTCTCTTTCTGCCAGTTAATATCTAACCTCGATGTGCCACAGGTGAAACGTGTCCGCTATGCATTACTAATTACTTCACATTTGCCACCCAGGCTAAGTGCAAGTTTCTTTTTTTTTTTTTTTTTTTTTGAGACAGAGCCTCAAGCTGTCCCCCTGGGTAGAGTGCTATGGCATCACGCTCACAGCAACCTCCAACTCCTGGGCTCAAGCGAGTCTTCTGCCTCAGCCTCCCAAGTAGCTGGGACTACAAGCGCCCGCCACAACGCCTGGCCATTTTTTGGTTGCAGCCATCATTGTTGTTTGGTGGGCCTGGGCTGGGGATTCAAACCCGCCACCTTCGGTGTACGTGGCTGGCGCCTCAGCCACTTGAGCTACAGGCGCCGAGCCAAGCACAAGTTTCAAAGCAGTACTTCTACTACGGACACCCAAATGTAGGAGCAGGCACCCCTGGATGAGCTCAGTTCCGTTTAGGAAGGCTACGATTAGCCAGGTGCAGAGGGGAAGGCTATGCAGGGTGCTCCCCAAAGAAGCAGGAATGGTGGGCAGCAAAACCAACATTTCCAGGGCCCTGGGCTGAAATGTCGGGGTAGCAAGTTTCCAGGCAGAGACACTTGGAAGCTCTTCAGATCACACCCCAGCGCACCACGTGCTGGTGACACAGGAGCTTCTGCACGGCACTGAGGCTGCCTCATGAATGAGGCCAGCTGGTCTCCTCACTAGCTCAAGTGACTTTGAGAGCCCTGCTCATGAGACACCAATATAGATCTCTTTCCAATTCTGTACAACGCTCAGTATTTTCTGTTCTGATGTTCGCTTTTACCCCAACATGTCTGCTCCCCATCTGGGCCCTCCCAATCTTATCGGCGGTCCTTGGAGACCTAGTGTTACACTCAGCTCCCCCTTTTCTCTGTTGTCTGCTTCTCCTCCATCCTCAAGGCCTGAGCTGCCATCTATGGAATGAAACTCTGCCTCTCTCCAAATTCACACACTGTGACTCTGCCCCAAAGCGACGCTCCAGGATCTCCTCAGCTCCACACCTTCTGCTGCCAGCTTCCCAGTCTCTCCTCCCTGAGCTCTTACAAGCAGCAAACTTGTGTTTCCAATGGCAACACTGTCTCAAAACCCACCCAATTCTCTTCCTCCTGAAACCTGAAACCTCTCTTCCCCTCTCTTCCCCTCTACCCTCTGCTGCAATGTCATCTCACTGCCCTTCTTTCTTCACATACCTATCTCATCATCATTGATTTTCCCTCAAAATTCTGGAATCCAATTTCACTAAATGATTCAACGACTATTTGGAAGTTGCTCTTAGCAAGGAGTTATGTAACCGAGTCAACAGGAAGTGGGAAGCAAGGAGGCAAGCGCCCTTCTTCCAGCCCACTCTTGCTAACAAACAACCCGGTTTCTATGGACATCCCAGGCACATTCTCACCTCAAGGCCTTGGCACTAGAGAATCCTTCTCACTAGAGCACTTCCCCACGTATCTGCACTAAGGACCTTTCTGGCCACCCAACCTAAAAATTTAATATAGCCCCTCAACTCTTGAAAGCCCCTTCCCTGCTTAACTCTTTGTTGGCCGTCATCACGTGTGACATACCACCTGTTTTACTTTTGCTGTGCATCATCTGTCTCCCCCTGCTGGAAAGTAAATTCCAATGAGAGCACCTTGTCTTTTTTCTTTACTTCGACATCCCTGACACCCAGGAAAGTGTGTGGCACACAGTAGACACACAATGAACATTTTTTGAATAAAAGGAACCCCCAAACGCCTAAAAAATAAGATACCTGATATGCCCAAAGAAGATCTCAATAAGATAGACAAGAATTTATTTTAGTTCTCTTATTCTAATTGTCTTAGTGATGAGGACAGAGGGAGAAAAGGGACACAAACTTTAAAGACCCAAAAATCCACTATGCAAATAAAAGG